GTGTTTCCTGCTTTTCTTGCTTCTTGGGTATTCTCTGGAATGCAAAGAGGCTACTTCATTTACTTCCCAATAAACTTTATTTCTCTGGCATAGTAAATGTGTTTCTCATCATATTCATGCATTGTAAAGTACTCATCACAGCTATTTCATAAAAATACCCCTTCATCAGGAGGATGAAATGGGTTAAATGACTGACTCCAGCCATTGTGTTCCACTGGTTAATACTGATGAGGAGGGAGAGATATCCTCCTGGGAGGCCCCCAGAAGGGGAGACCATGCAGAAAACCTGGCCTTCAACACCCACACCCAACCTGCCATGGCTGCAGCGCCCTTGGCAATTCTGAGGATCGTCCCCAAACTTCACTGCTATCTCCACTGTCGCCCTCATCACTCTGGAACTCTATGCTTCCCCTTTCTCCTAAACTGTGATGACCAGCTTCTGTAGAAACTGCTCAAAGAGGAACTGCCCTCTCCTCTCAACCTCACGGCTATACCTGCAACTCCAATATAGATACCTGTCTCTCCCTCGAAATGGACCTTCATTGATTTCCATAACTTGGCACACTCTGGCTCCTCTTATTATATCTCCAACTGCCCATTCTCTGTCTCCTCATTGGCCTGTCTTCCCCTTTCTGTCCAAAGTGGAGGAAATGCCTAGATCCTCGGTTCTCTGTTTTTCTCTTTCTACATCCCTGTTCATGGAGAACTAGCACCTCTGTGCTGATGACTCCAGAATCTCACTCTCACCTGAGCTCAAGTTCCAGGTCTTCAGTTGCCCATAGAACAGTTCCGCTTGGTATCAGGCCGTCACATCACATTCCGTTGAATCAAAACTTATCTTTGCCGAACTGGTTCATCTTGCACCCACTTGTCATACCCAACACTTTGTTATCTAAAGATCTTTAAATGCAGGCAGGCATCTCCCCTTACCTCCCCCTCTTCAAGTTTATTCTTTCCTCTAGGTATTCATTCATATCTATAATGTTCTTCCATAATCTCTTTATCATTTCATTTTCTATGATTCCAAGAAAGGCCAATGTTCATTAAGTCTCCCCCAACAAACATTAATCCCACCCCACCCCCACTTGCCTCATCTCTGAATTTTTAAAGCTTTCAATTCTACCGGCCACTATCTCAATTATCCCTTCAATTTGACGCTATCTGACGGACACACTGCAGTCAATTGTCTATAGTGTGTGGCAGTACCATGTGGGGTGCTGAGAACACATGAATATGTGAACCCCAGTCCTGACCCACAGCATGTTTACAGACTAGAGGGGATAAGACAGAGACAACTGCATACACACAAACACTGATGTGGCTCAAGACAGAGTCAGTAAAGAATGATGAGTTTCCGAGGTGTGAGAGAGTGGTAAGGGGCTCTGAGAAGGAGGGAGCACTCGATCAGGGCTTTGAAAACCCAAATATTCTGTTCATATAAATTCTGTCCAGCTTTTTTGTTGCCTAAAGGCCCTTCAACAGTAAGTGAGTCAGTATCTTCACCTAATGAAAGCCTAGTATAAACCATAGACTACTCTAAGTGGAATAAATAAGGAACAGTCACACTAATGTGGATACATGAGAAGGTTATTAAAACTTTATATACTTCCCTTAGTTCCAACTTCAATCAACTATTACTGTATGTGGGCCAGCCCCATGGCTTACCGGTTAAGTGTGCGCACTCCACTGCTGGCGGCCCGGGTTCGGATCCCGGGCGCACACTGATGCACCGCTTCTCCAGCCATGCTGAGGCCGCGTCCCACGTACAGCAACTAGAAGGATGTGCAACTATGACATACAACTGTCTACTGGGGCTTTGGGGGGAAAAATAAATAAATAAAATTAAAAAAAAACTATTACTGTATGATATTAGCATAATTCTGACATAAAGTTTGATGGATATGTTTGGACAAGAGAGTGTGTGCAGGTCTATTTTTCCAAGCATGAACTTTGTCTGGTTTGAAAGTTTTTCCAAGCATGAAGTTTGTCTGGCAAGGAGATGAGGAAGCAGGAGCTGTGTTGAGAGCCTGACAGACCAATTCCTAGCCTGAAGCAGAGGATAAATGTGGTAGCAGAAGATGAAACTATAAAGTAGTTAGGGAGGACCATATCTGGCAGTGCTTTGAATGCTTATCTGTGAGATTGGCTTGTAAGGAAGGTTGGCATATGATCTATCAGATAGCTATGTGTAGTCTGGGTTGTGATGGGGTCTAGAAGTGGGTGGGGTTGGTTGGGAAAGAAGGGTGATCAATTAGGAGGCTGATGAGAGACAATAAGGACTGAGATGGGTGGAGATGGGGGAGTGGGTGGGGCAAGGGAGGGGTGGATTTCAGAGGCACAGCCTGGGATATGGAGGCTGTGAGAAACAATGGAGAGAGAAGGAAGGAAACTAGTATAGATTGAATACCTACTACGGGTCAACACGAGTGAAGTTTTTGAGCCTGAGAAAATGAAACAACAGTGGGTCTCCAGTGGCGAGAGCTGGAAAAGAATGACTAGATTTGGGACAGATACCAGAGAAATACTTAAATAAAGATGATAATAGAGCTGTACGAGTTGTTAAGACTGTTAAGGGGAAGATGTTAGAGTATGGAAGAACCTTGGGAACCACTGATAGAAATGACAGAGTAGGCCTGGAGCCCTCCAAAGTCCCTGACATGAGGTTCTGCCTTGCTTTAGCTGGGTCTCAAGGATAGAGATGACATCTGGTTATAAACAGCTGGAGAGGGAAATGGAGAAGCAGCTGAAGTGACACAGAAGTTGAAAGAAGTTACAGTTTCGATGAGGGGATGGCCAACAGCATCCAGGTCAAGGAAGATGAGGATTCAGGCAAATCACTGGATATAGCAATGGGGAGCACTGGTAACTATTAAGAAAGCAGGGTCTGTGGGATGCTGGGGGAAGAAGCCTTATTTCAGTGGCTCTCACATCTGTCTCAAATCGCTAACTTGATAGTGAATTTAATGCACAGTTCAACACAACCCATTCATACTAAACATGAAGCTTGCTCTTGCTTTAGTCTCTGTGTACTACTAAAAATGCTGTAGCATCTGCTCTTCCCTTTGAGCGACAGAGCAGTCACACAAACAGATTTTCATTCTTTCTCTGAGTAGTGCCTGAAGCCAGCTTTGCCAGAAGACTAGGACCATTAAGTTACATTGTCCTGGATTGTTTCATGTTCTTCTTGACTCCTCTATTCTAGACTAGGTACAGGTAAAAATATACTGATGAACTTTGTTTGCATTTTTCTGACATGGCTTGGTCCCTTAAGACCCCCAAACTCCATTCCCATCATGAGTCTGGGACTGAATGTAAGAGAAACAATGGTTACTCTGGAGAGGTTTTGTGGAATGGGCCCTGAATCCCATTTTGAGGTGTCTATACTTCTCTTTGCTCAGCCCATCTTACTACTGAGCTAGCATATTCTCCAGGTCCTCTCCTGCTCGTCCCTCATTGGAAATCCTATTTGAGCATCTTCTCAGAGCCAGATCTGTTAGCTAAGTTCCTGGATTACCATCATACTTTCTCCCCTCAATATAGTGAGGCTGGACAATTGATAAATTGACAACAATTGCCTTTATGGAACGGCCCGTGGAAGCCCTATATCCTGTTCTTATAAGCAGCTCTAACTGGGGCTGGCCCAGCATGGTGGGCTGGTGTTGGTATTGAACAGTATTTCTGATTTTCTGATTCCTCAGTGGGTCACTCTTCGTCTCTCTTTGGCATAAGTCAGTCCTCCTGGCCTGTGTGTGCCCAGTGATACCATTCCTGGTCCCTCCTTGCCATTTGTACACATTAAAATATAATTAATTGATAAGTGGCCCAATACGTTACTTTGCATTTCCCAAAGAATACATTTGATGTTTCTCATGATGAGAATTTCAAGTGCCAGTACCTGGCCATCAGGGAAGATAGCTTTGGGAAGGAAGAAGAAGGCCTTCTAATGCCTGTAAAGTCCTGCCACAGGGAGGATGGCCTCAGCAGATCTGCCCGACTCCATTCCACGGTTAACTACCACTGGTGAGTTTGGGTGTGATCTCTCCCCTGGAAATAGCCTTGGCTTCCATAATAAATAGTATCCTTAATCCTCAGCTGCAATTTGCTCACATCTGGAGACCAGACGCCTTACCAAGGCGTCTGCCACAATTACCTGAGCAGGTGTAAAACCTTTCTGTTTGTTAGGATTTGATTTGCTCATCATGTTTATTGAAGGGTCATTGACTACAGACAATGTCATAGCTTATGTAAAGGTAGGAATGCACAGCACACAGTAAGTGGAATAAATAAAAAGCAATTGCCTTCCAGAATTCCTGGGAAGCTAATTGAACCTTGGCTCTTTCCTCAATAGACCAAAATCGTCTCAACCATAATTAACTCAAGACCACGTAGCTACGCAGCAATCATTGTTACTTCTACTCAAGATGCGGGAATAGTCATGTTTTCTAAACTCTGCCCTCCACTTTTGAAGATACAAGTATACTTACCTCTGGACTATTCCATTCTGACTGAAGTAGAAGCTACAGTAATGGCTATAGGGATCCCATGGACATATTTACCAGACTACAACACAGTATTCCTTTCCTATTTAAAAAGTGCAAGTGTCTAGATTTTCCTCTTTTGAAGCTTGGAGCATAGGAAAAGGGAGAAAGACAGAGAAAAGCTAATGAATCCAGCTATTTGCTTTATGTTATTTGATCTCATCCAATAGGGCTTCAATTGGTTTGGTATTGATTTTAAACCAGCACACCCATTCAACATCTCTCTAAAGGTAGAGATTCAGGCAGGAGAGGCAGAGAGCCATGATTGTGAACGTGGGTGGGATGTCAGCGCCTTCAGAGCACACAGCCATTTACTCCAAAGATGTCCTTTATGAAAGCATATATGAAACTCCACCTTGCAAATGACTTTTAGAATTGTACATTATTATTTTATAGTAACAATGTGTTTCTCATCCATTAAAGATGCTACTCAGTTTTGTTGTTTATCCCACTCATTAGCCTTGGTTCCAAATGATATCTGGTTGGTTCCAAAAATAAACATACCCTCAGAAGATGAAGATTTGCCTTCAATAAGGATAACCAAAAGAAAGTGTCCTAGGCTGCAAGGGCAAGTTCAAAGAAGTAATCCGAGTAATAGCTGTGTGGGAGGAATGAGTACATAGCTTCCAAAAGGAACTACTTTAAGGAGTATTTTTTACATTTTGAGAATGGACAGATTAAACATGAAATCCTCATAATTCACACCTCCATCTGGAATACCATGAGGGCAGAACATCTGTTTGTCAAAATGTATTGATGGTCACAAGAAGCCATTAACCATGTAATGATGTAGTGGCTTTTTAGGGTCACTTTTTGGAGAACTGGGCTCAGGTGTTTCTACATCAGATCAACTGGGGGTTCCTTTGTTTCAAGCTTCTAGTGGATATTACACTTTCTCACTTAGTAGATTTCCTTAGAATAGAAATGACCTTTGGTTCTTGGATAGAGAACAGGCTTTTATTTTCGGCCCACGCCAATTTAGAAGGGGATATTGTCTAGTAGTGGTTGAGCCTTGTTGAACTCAATCCATTTGTGCATTATTGCATCTCAGTGGTGAGAAGATTGGAAGAGAGAGATGGTGTGACGGAGAGAGTGTGGCTGTTGCAATCAGAGAGAGCCGGATTTGAAGGCTGGCTCCACCATGTGACCCTGGGCAACCTCTCAGAGGCTTGGTGTCCTCAACTACAATCCCTGAAGGATTTTGTGAGCACTGAAGGAGATAATGCAGAGGAGGTGCTTCATACAGTGGGTGCTCAGTAAGCAGGAGCCATTCTAATAACAGTCACACTGTGTGCAAGCACATAGTAAGTCTTCATGCAGAGTAGGTGCTCCCAAGATGTTAGTTTTCTTAATGTTATGTGAACACTGAATGATAGCAGAAATAAAGACTGGGGGCCTTCCTAGAGCCCCCTAGGAAAAGAGTAGAACTGCCTCCAGGTGGCCTGGATGGAATGGCAAGGGACGTTGAACTGGATGGCTTCCTAAGTCCTTTCTGATCTCAGCTTCCAGAATTCCCCACCCAACAGTCTGGTTTCCAGGTGGGCTTCCTTAGATGGCTTTTCTCAGAGTCCTTAGTGAGTATGGGCTGGATGAGGCATAGACCTTTCCTCATTTAGGGGAAAGAGGTACAGAAGTGCCCCCAACTCTGGGGGACAGGGTACAGCTGTCACTCTAACTCAACACCCTGTGAATAAGTGGCAAGGGAATGGGCTGGTCACTTTGAAGTCAAACCATGAAGCTCTTACTTAACCAACCAGCAAGATTGGTGAGGAGTCCTGACTTAGCAAGAAGCCAGAGTAATACATTTTATGAGGTAAAGGACTCGTGTGAGGTGGCTAAACAACAAATGGAAAAATTGGTAAAGAGGGCAAAAGGAGGTAATGCTGGACGTGTGTGCCACACCCACTGCGGACAGAATATAAAGCTCTGGAGAGGACCAGGGCTTACACCAGAGAAGAGGAATCAGGCTTTGGAACTGACCTTCAGAGCTCCTCTCCCTCCAGCACCATGCCTTACAACTGCTGTCTGCCCAACCTGAGCTGCCGCTCCACCTTCTCCGCCCGGCCCTGCGTGCCCCCCAGCTGTCGCAGCTGCACCCTGCCCGGGGCCTGCAACATCCCCGCCAACGTGGGCAGCTGCAGCTGGTTCTGCGAGGGCTCCTTCAATGGCAGCGAGAAGGAGACCATGCAGTTCCTGAACGACCGCCTGGCCAGCTACCTGGAGAAGGTGCGCCAGCTGGAGCGGGAGAACGCGGAGCTGGAGAGCCGCATCCGGGAGCGGAGCCAGCAGCAGGAGCCGGAAGTGTGCGCCAACTACCAGTCCTACTTCCGCACCATCGAGGCGCTCCAGCAGAAGGTGAGGGGGTGGGCACCACACTGCCAACTTAGTAAATTATTTATCCAAATTTAACATACCCACTTCTGAATGGATCTAAGACTGTTTGAAGCTAATATTGAGAATAATAAAGACATAGACTTCACTGGGTTAGGTATGACACACCAATTTGTCTTTGAAAATCTCTTCGGGAGGCCCCACGAAGGAAGGGTGCAGACGGGGGAGAGGGTAAGGCATTAGGTCAAAATCAGTCACAGCAATCTTATGTTGCTTCTTACCTAAAACCAGGTTATCTGACTCTTTAGTTCTAGTAGGATATCCTGGTCTTGTTTTTAGAGCCTCCAGCATTAAAAAAAAAAAAATTCACCTGAATTATTTCTTGGAGCCAGGAATTTCCTGAGTGAATCCGCAAATATTTAAAGCCTTTCAAAGCTGCAGCAAGAGACTGTGTCTATAGCAAAGCAAAGAGCTGTTGACTCCAAAAGCCTTGCTAATATACACAGACACAGTACCATCCACTAGAGCAGACTTGTGTACAAGTGAGAATTCGGGGCCAGAAATGCAGGAGTAGAAGTGGGGACAAGTGAAGAGTCTGCATAGAGATGGGACTTAGGACATGCTGTAGGTCTGGGAGGGCTTCACAGAAGAGGCAATATCTGAGCAGGGTTTGAAGGATGAGCAGGAATTTATATCCAATTGCACAAGCCCTTGATTCTCAGAGGGAATGGACTGTCCATTGTTCAGTAGTTCTGCTAAAGTGAATGCTGTTAAGGGGCCGTGCAATTTGAAGATCATGCATTCATCTACTCACGTTTAGTGACTACTAGACACAGTGCTGGAGCAAGGGATAAAGTACTGGGTAAGACAACCTCTTTCCTGCAGTGCTCACAGGCTAATAGAGGAGAGAAATGGAAAGCATGGAAACCAATGACCAGAGTGAAGGTGATGAGAAGTGTGACTGGCTGAGCGCAAAGTACTGTGGGAGGGCGTGGAGGAAGTGACCCCCTGCAGGAGCTGGGGAGGGTGGGGAATGAGGATTGTGTGAGGGGTCTTGTTAGGTGGTGAGGGCATCCCAGGGCACTCCAGGTAGAGGCAGAAGCTTCATGCAAAAGCCTTGTCCAGGGCAATATGATGGGAGGGTGCAGAGAGGTCAGCAGGGCTGGAATAAGGGGATATGAGGGCAGGATAACCAACTTGTCCTGGTTTGCCTAGGGTTTTTCTGGGTTTAGCATCCCAGGAACCCCCTAGTTCTAAGCAAACTGGGGCACTGGTCACCCTATGTGAGGCTTGGTACCTAGTATGCTCAATTCCTGCCGGAAGCCTGAGGCAGACCAAGAGAAGAATTCATGACAAAGGGCACATTTCCCCTTGTTTTAGCTTTGAAATGATCAGTTCTATTAATTAGTCCTCCTTTTATCCCCAAACTGAAAATCTGAGAAGACTCAAAGCGATTTGGAAGGAATGTGGCTAAAAGAAAATAGCTTTTCACCTCAAGGCACAGGGCATTCCTTCTTGGTACAACTCATTTCACAATTACTCCTGTCTCCAGATCCTGTCCAGCAAGGCAGAGAACGCCAGGCTGGTGGTGCAGATTGACAATGCCAAGCTGGCTGCAGACGACTTCAGAACCAAGTAAGATTTTTCTAATGATCAGAGCAGTCTAGTAACGAACAGGCTGAGCTGCAAAATTATGAACCCTGTCCTTGGAGCATGCAAGCAGAAGCTGTCTGGGATGATACTGGGCGGATTCTTGCACTGGGTTAGTTACGTTAAATGTCAGTTAAAGTTTCCCCACTGAATGCTAAGATTCTATATTTTTAGGAAGGAGTGCAAGAAACCACCCATTCTTTTTCTTTTTCAACTTAATGTTTGGACCAAGTTTAAAAGTGAACTTCACACTGGTTTCTCAGTATAGGTTAGTCAATATCAGCCCATCAGAAAAAAGTTATTAAACCACGAAAATAGGAGGCAAAATCCATTTCAGAGAATCAATCAATTTTTCTAGGCGTGACCATTACAATCCTAAGAGTCCTTTGCATTTTTCTAGGATTTTACAGCTTACAATGTAATTATACCTATGGCATTTCTTCATCTTCAGGCCAACTCGATGAAGTGTTAGTTTGGTTCCCATTTTACAGATGAGGAAATCAAGGCTCAGGAGCTTATCCACAGTCACAATGACAAGGCTGAAGCTAACTGACTTCTAATTCAGGAGCTTATCCACAGTCACAATGACAAGGCTGAAGCTAACTGACTTCTAATTCAGTGCTTTGCTCACAGCACCAGATTGTTTCTCTGGGCAGGTGGGAAGGATGGCAAGACAATCTGTAGCAGGCTTACCAAGTTTACTGACTCAGTTAAGAAGGCAAGGTGATGGGGCTTAGTTGACAGCAACCTGTGAATGCGATTCTTAGAATAAATGCAGTTAATATTAGAGTAGAACTATACATAGGCACCCCACCAATACCTTCTCTCTGGGTCTCAGGGAGGAAAGAGGTCTTTTTACTCAGCACAGTGGTGGTTTTTCCCTTTCAAAAAATTCAAAATATTTCAAAATGTAATGAATTTGACTAGGTCAGCCAAGTAAAGCCCAGGAGAAAGTCTTCCTCTTTGACGTCCTTTGATCTTTGGCTGTGTCTGAAGGTATGAGACGGAGCTGGGCTTGCGGCAGCTGGTGGAATCGGACATCAATGGCCTGCGCAGGATCCTGGACGAGCTGACCCTGTGCAGGTCTGACCTGGAGGCCCAGGTGGAGTCCCTGAGGGAGGAGCTGATCTCCCTCAAGCAGAACCACGAGCAGGTAAGGGAGTCCCAGCTCCCAACCTCCCAATATTGAGAGTTCCATAGCTCCCCTAAGCAAGATAAGGTAGGTCTTTGCGAAGCACCCTAGGGTTAACACCACATTTTGCTGGTTGCTCAAAACACACTTGGGGGATTGTTGGGTAATGAGTCACAAGCCTCTCTTTTTTACCTAAAAGAGTGTGGTCAGCTGACCTATTTCCACTTGGGGCCAAAGTCCATACAAAGATCTTTAAAATACTTTCTACTGTTTGATGAGATCTATCATCTTCTGAATAGATGCCAATTAATGACTAAGACTGGAAGGAAACTTCCTTATATTATGTGTCACCTAGCTAGGAGAACACAAGTTGGATAAATGGATGGATGGGAAAAACGGGAGAAATGAAGTCAAATAATGGTTGATTCAGACCTCATGGTTGAATGTAATACCAGGAAATCAGATTAAGAGGAAACAACCTCTAATAGCGTATGATGGCAGAAGACAGGAAATAAACGGGAGGAGCTCAACCTGGTTCCTCTGTATTTAAAAGCAGCAATTATAAGCCAGTTATCATGCCAGGTTTATCACTGAGCAAAGAGAAAATAAGAAAGAAACGAAAGAATCTTGGAGTGGGAAGAAACAATAGCAATCATTTAATCAAGGAACCTCATTATACAAATGAGGAGAGACCCAGACAGGAGGCCTGAATCATAAGGAGTAACTTAGCCGGGTTTTACGTCAACTAGACTTCAAATCATGATTCCTAAACTCCAACACAATTCTCTTCCCACCGCACTGGACTCCCTCAAAGAGAGTTTGTTTACAGACTTCTTTCTGTGGGTTTATGCCGTCCCCTTCCTCCATCAGGAAGTCAACTCCCTGCGTAGCCAGCTTGGAGACCGCCTCAACATCGAGGTGGACGCGGCCCCCACCGTGGACCTGAACCGTGTGCTCAACGAGACCAGGAGTCAGTATGAGGCCCTGGTGGAGACCAACCGCAGGGACGTGGAGGAATGGTTCACCACCCAGGTGGGCATCTCAGCACGTGGTCGCTCAGGACCCGAGGCCCCGTGGGGCCCTTTAGGC